CAATTGGGTTTGTGCATGGGTAGAGGTGATTAATTGAAGTGGAAAGAGCGTTGGGTCAACTTGGGTTTAGGTTGGGTTCAGCTTCATGAAAATGGCTTGGGTGACTCCCCAAGGCTGACCAAGGTCAGGTGGATCGACTAAAGTAGTGTGGAGAGGTCTCTATCAAAGGGATTTAGCTAAGCATAGGTTAGAGTGTGTCATTAAAAGGGTTAAAACCTTTTTTAAGGAGGCTTGAAAATGACTCCTCCTTTTTCCATCAATATCTTGGTGAGGTGGCAAAGGCTCATATGGCTCACCTAGGGCTTGGGGATGGCTTCATGGCTTGTCCTTGACTTGGTTAATTTGCATGAAAAGGGATTTTTTGGTTTATGGGGTATTTTTGTGGAGTTTGTCATGAGGCTTGATTTGGAATGACTTGATCATGGATTTAAAACTTAGGGAATTATTTTGATTAAATGGATGATGAGGGGAAATTTATCATGTGGCTTTTGGGTAAATTTTGGGCTTTCGAATGGCTTGAGGGCTTGGGCCTTTAAAATTGGGGATGAATTTAATTGGGGATGAATTGATGAATTTGGGCTTGAGTTTGGGTTGGATTTGGATTAAAATTGGGTCAATTAAATGTTTAATTTGGTGTAGATAGATGTCATGAAGAGTTTTGAAAGGATTAGAAGTGATTTTGAATTGAATTGGAAGACCAATTTGATGGAACTTTGACATAAGGTCAATTTGGGCATTTTGGGTTAGACTTGGGTTTTGAGCTAGGCTAGAGCTTGGATATGGCCCAATTGATGGTTCAATTTGGTATAAGTGATTGTCATGAAGTATTTTGAAAAAAAAATAGGTGGAAATTTTGGGGTTATGACTTTCAATTTGGTGTCATTTGGGGATATGACCAATTTGGGGCAAATTTGGGCTTTTTGATTTGGGTGAAACTTAGCTTATAATTGGGTCAAATTAGGTTTTTATTTGGCTTCAATTGGTATTAGGGATTGAAATTGAAATTGGGCAAGATTGGGGTCAATTTGTTTGAAATTGAGTTCTGGAAATTGGGCCTTTAAGGACAATTTGGGGCTTTTGGTCAAAATGGATCAATTTAGCCAAATTGGGTCTATAGGAGTGGTTCAAATTGATTTTGGGGACAATTGAGATGATTTTGGAATTTTTGGGTCATGAGGGGCATTTTGATAATTTTGAGAATTTTGTAATTTTGGTGAATTTTGATCAATTTGGGTAGTGGGGAGCACTTTGAAATGATTTTTTGGAAAAAAAAATTGGGTAATTTGGGCAATTTTAGGAATTTTGGCAAAAATTAGGGTTGTAGGGGAATTTTGGTAATTTTGATGAAAGTTTAGACTAGAGTGGGTAAGTAAGCCATGAAAGCCGTTTCCAAGTCATGAGAACCATATGAGGACTCACTTTGGATGTTCAATATGCTCGTTCTAACCCTCTTAGTCAAGGGCTAGAGGTTTGGGTCCACCCATATGAGCTTTCCAAAAGGAGTCAGGAGACCAAATAAAGTGCAAGTGGTCTTAGGGTTTGGGGTATGTAAAATTAATGTAGTGTGTGCAAGTTAGCCTAACCAAAACTAGACCACCCAGGGTTAGTCCTAAGGCTTGACCATCCTATGGGGACTCTCCTTTGAGCTCCCTCATATTGATCCCACCTACTAAGTGCTAGAGGTTAGAACCAATATGTGGAACTTCAAGTTAAGCAGGGAAGAGTTTAGAATTTCTAATGGCAAATTTTTCTTTTCTAGTCCTCTAATTTTCTAGTCCTCTAAGAATATTATGGTTAGACCCTAGGCTACTAAGGAGGAAACTAGTTCTCAACCAAAAGTGAGGTCAACAACACTCAAATGAGATATGGTCCATTAAGAAAATAAAGAACACAACCCAAGCAAAATATGATGTGTTTTGGAAGAGAATTTGCAAGTGGATTTGACCACAAGAATAGAATCCTAAACAAATATGGGCATGTCCAAATAACAGTATTCAGGTGAAAGATGATTTAGAGAAAAGTGGCTCCTCTGAATCAAGGATGCCCTGGACAAAGATGATACCTTGACAACAGAATTAAAATAATTGGGATATGATTCAACCCTTAATGAACAAAATATGTATGCAATGATCTAAATGAAAATCTTATACTTGGCTACATGATGGCATGCGATGATCAACATAAATTAAGTGATAAATGTGTGAGAGACATGATAATATATATCTCAAATGAATGCTCTAGAGTACTCCAAGGATAATGAGAGGTTAAACTCCACATGTTAATGACATGAACTACCCTACAAGATGTGAAAATTTATAAGGTGATAAACTAATATAAGTGTGCATCAATGTATAAGGGTACATCTCAATCCTTGAAGATCAAATTATGACTTGACAGACTAAAGAAAGTATGCAAACTAATAGTGATGTTTGCAAGCTATGTTCCTAATAATTTAATATGATGCTATGAAGCATGTATGAATATTTTGATTATGATAAAATGATATATAGTCTAATGAAGGTTTGAATCTCATGTAATCAACTCAATGTACCAACCTAGGTGGACAAAGGGAGTTCAAATCATGTGAGTGCTCCTAAAGACTCAATTAAGCTCTAGCAAGGATATTGGGGTAAATAAGTTTATACAATCACCATTCGCTAAAATGTATCCTAAGTTTATAAAATTTATAGCTTTATCATTAAAAAATTAAAGCCTATATTTTCTTTTAAATGCAAGAATGGATAATGATAATGCATGAAATTAATAAAGACATTATGTTTAAATTAACTTACTTTTATAATAAATTTTTATATTAAAATCATCTATAGGAGTTCATGTCCATAATTAAACTTAGGTACACTGACACTCACAGTATGAAATAAATATGTTGGGCGTGTTCATTATAATTGTTAAATCCATCGAATGTTCGTCCTATATATTTAAATTAACTTATTTTTAAAAATTTCTTAATATTAATATTATATTTTTAATACTAATGAAAAGTGTTTAACATAAATTTGATGATAGCCAAATTATGATCAAATTATATTCGTACTATATTTTTAACCTTTGCATCTCCATATGATGCGTATCCACCTATACTCTACAGTTCAACGTGACAACAAATATTAAATATAAAAAACAAGTACCTCTATTAGCTTTGCTGGTGATAAGGGGTAATATGTATCCAACGACTATTTATGGGGCTCCACTAGGCAGAGTGATGCCCAAGATCAGTACCATTGTAAATAATTAGCCAGTTCTTGTTCTCCATCTCCTTGCGGTGGGTTTAATGGTATTATATACGTCCGATGATTATTTCATACTTCAATATACCTCTGATGAGTCTGTCATAAAACTTTTAATTTTTGCCAAGTTCATCTTTCTACATAAAGCTTTTAATTTTAATGAAATTTAGAGCAATATTTCAAAAAAGTGCAAATAATATAAAATAATAGAGAAAAAAACAATATAATTACATTAATTTAATTATATTATAAAAAAATAATTAGAAGAAGTTAAGAATAACACCAAAAGAAAACTAGCAGAGCACTCAATCCAATAATTATCGCGGTCCTTTACAAAAATTTACCCAATTCTAAATTCAATCATATTTTTTACTGGATTTATAATTCATTTGATCAAACTCCTGAAATCTTAGAAGTCGTGCAATGTTGCCAACCAAATAATGTCTTTAGTCAGATTTAGTAAATCCTATAAATTTGAAATTGGTAAGTATTGAAGTATTTAAACTCTACAAATTATTTAGTATGATAATTGTTAAATTTGATTAAATTATGTGATATTATTTGATAATTTATTTTAGGATTTAAATTTAAATATGAGTTTAATATTACCAATTAATGAAATAATTATTAAGTTTGATCAAATTCAATTTAATTTTTTTATTTTTGATTATGCTTATCATTATTTTAGTATTTGTTGAACAAATTCAGCATTAATATAATTTTATTAAAAAACTTAAATAATAATTTTATAATGCAATGTTAAATAAAAATTTAACATACAATGATTAATAATTAATTAGTTATTTGTTGAACTAATTATTAGTTTTAGAATTTTATTAAATTAATTATTTCTAAATATATAGTTTGATAACATAAAAATTAATTATAAAATAGTTACATAGAAGTTTATCAAATTATAATTAATTTGATGATATGTTAATTAATTTAGTAATTAAAATTAACTTGAGTAAAATTAAATTAAGGGACATTTATATACATACCAACAAATTTTATGTATTTATATATCTAACATCTAAACTTTACTTTTTAAATTTACACAACAAAAAAAATATTATATAAAATATAAAATATCATTATTTTAACTTATAAAAAAATGAAGTACCCATTTTCATGATATATACAAATTGAAGTTTAGGGTGAGATATGTAAATATATAAAAATAAAGCGGTATGTATGTAAATTTTCCTTAAATTAAAGCCAAAGACTTATCTTTGCTCTTATCCTCCCTTGCCTATCTCCAATTAGTTGAAGTAAAAATTTTAGGATTTAAGTCTTTTAGTTGAAATTCTGTTAAATATGATTAAAACTTGATTAAATATGATAAAACTGACAATTTATTTTAAAATTTAAGTTTAGTAGCTGAAATATGAATTTAATATATTAATATAGTTATCAAATCTAATTGAAATCGATTTAATTTTTTTACTAATTTATGTTAATGAATAATTAACTAGGCACTAAAGTAATTAATATTTATTAAAATATACTAAATTAATTATTTGTCAGTCAATATTTTTATTTATTAAATAATAAGTGATTAATAATCTGTTAGAATAATTTATAATTAATTAATTTCAATATATAATTTTATTTTATTAGTTAATAATAAAATAATTAAACAAAGATTATGATTATAATTAATTTGATAATATATTTATCAATTAATAATTATTAATTAATAATCGATTAAATTAAATTAATCTATTAAATCCCGAAGCCTATCTTCTGCGGCCCTTCTTCCTCCTGCCCGCAAACCTCGCCTACCGCTCCCCCCTCACCCGGTTTCTCCCCAAGCCACCGGGTACCTTCCCCTTCATCCTCCTCTCGTGTCCGAAACCCTTGCGGTACAGTCACGGCAACAGCTATCTGGGAAGCAAACGACGGGGTCACGGTGTACAAAGATCTCTGAAATTCCCGTAGAATTCCCTTTCCCTCGTCTATCTCTTCCTTCCTCCCACTGTATGTTCTTTGCCTATCCTGCCCTGTTCGAATCTTCTTATCTCTCGTTTACTCTCTTATAACTTCGCGAGTCCTACGCCGAGTCCCGACGGCATTGCGTTCCGTGGAGGAACCGAGCAGGATAACTTGTTGAAGAAGGTTACTACCAATCCTTTCTATTTCTTGCTCTGTTCTTTTTTCTTGTTCTGAGAGCCTTATTGGGCTTCCGTTGATTAGTAAAATAAGAAAACAACTCGTCGTTCTGTGATTTGTTTGAGTGTTTTGTTTTGGTTTACTTTGGCGAATTCGCTTGCGATTTTTTAAGACTTATTTGTATATAGTTTTTTCTGTAGTTGTGCCCTTTCACACTTATTTTGGATTAGTTTCTCAATGTATGGTTGCCTTTGTAGCAAGAAAAGGGAGATTCTGTTTTTTTTGATATAAAATAGCTTAAGGTCCTATTGATTCCAATAATGAAAACTTATTAAATAGATTTTTTTATGTTTTCTGTAGGTAATTTTACTAGTTCAGGCTGCTTACTTAGTATGGTTATGCTATTGTTTCCATAATAGAAGTTAGAAGGATATGTGATAAACACTCATCATCTTTCCTCATCAAATAAATATAGGGATTTATCTTGTGCTTTGATAAGCTATTCGAAAGTAGTGGGAGTAGTGAGTGGATTGATATTTGAAAATAAAAAAGATTTATGTTGAAAATTATTTGAATGACCTTGTGATTCGAACTTTGATTTCGAGCTATGATTTTAATGGTAAGATATAATTAGATAACATAATTTGTGAAGAGACTCCATTCACCAAAAAAATACTCTTTCTCCTAAATAATGATGGGTAATATCGAACAAAGGTTTAACTCAAAATATTTTTCTGAATATCCAAAATGATTGGACTATAACATTCATAAAATGCTGCAGTTTATTTATATTGCTACTTCTTTAAACCATATGAGCAAATTATGATAAGCTAAGGTGGTAGAGACTCATTTGTTATTGAAGAATTTGAAAATTAAAAGTGAAAATATTTTAGCACTAGTTAGAGAATATAATAGGATAAAAATTAAAGTACTTAGTAAGGCCTCAAGATCATTAATCATAGTATTTATATTGTGGTTGAGTAAGGATATCATGAAGAAAGAAAATATTAGTTCTTATTGACTATAGTTATTGATTGTGTTTGATTCTTTTTGCGTTAATGATTATGATTTTGTGGTCATAACGAGCTATTTGAATTCGATAACTAAGGGGCCATTTGAGATCACTTTTTATTTTTGTTTTTGTTTTTGTTTTGTTTTGTTTTGTTTTGTACATGTTTTTACTTGAAATAAAATATGTTTGGTGTATTATAATATATTTAATTGTTTTAAGAAACATTCAAAATAAATTTTAGATGTTTTGACTGTTTTTTAAAACAAACTAATTTATTTTTCAAAAGAAAAAAATAAGAGCATGCAAAATATACTAAACAAACATAATTTTAAAATATAAGAAAAATAAGTGATTTCTAACAAACCCTAAGAAAATTACTCGCATCTATTTCATTTTTTTATGCTAATCATAATGAAGAAATAAAAATTTTACATTTTCAAAAGCTAATTTGAAGCTAAATCTGATTTTCTTCCAATGTTCAAAAATAAATTTATTATGCTATTGCTACTGAGAGGTTTCTTTTAATTGTGAATGATATTGATGATTCTTACTTTTTCTGTTCTAACAAATAAGTCTTTTGATTTGTTAATAAAAATAAATAAATAACTGTTGTAGTAAGATATGTTGGTAAAATGAGACAATTTACTGAGAGATTTATTGATATTAAGCATATTTTCTTAACCATTAAGTTTCACTTAAGGTAGCCATTGAATTTATATTAGCCAAACATTTATTGAGATAATGTAGGACACGTGATCAATATTATAATGAAAAGTTTAATACACAAGGAGAATTTCATGAATTGAAGGCACACTTTTTAATAATATTTCTTAAGCATTTTATGTTCATTAACTCCAATTGTATTTGGTGGCTATTTCAAATAACATTGACAAGTGAATCATCCTTTTGAGATTACTTCAAGAATTATGAATATATTGGAGCATTTTGCAAGTAATATTTCTAAACTTTTAACATGAGAAAATTCTTAAGCATCTTAAAAATGTAGTGTTAATTACTAGCTGAAGATTGAATTTAGGTACCAGTTTGCAATGAGTTGGTAACACATGTTGGAGTTCGCATTTATATATGTTTATTAGTTTCATAAAATATATGTTTTTGTACTTAAAATACTAAATTAAGATCATTTTTTATACTATATGCCCAAGTGACAAAAAAATACCGCTAGACTGAAAGGGAAATTTTATAAGGTGGTGGTGAGAAAGATCTTCAGCTTTTACTAAACTTTGACACTAGTTGGCCTTTAAATGAGAATCATAAAACTTTTTTTTTTTTTTTTTTTTGTGCTGGGCTTGAGAATGATTAGGTGGATGAGTCTTAGGTGGATGAGTCGCTTTACACTTGGAGAAAAAAATGTGAAATGAATATATCCGTGATAGGGTTGGTGTAGCTCCAGTGACGAACAAAATTAGGGAGAGTTGTTTTAGATGGTTTGGCACATTAAACGTCGACCATCTGATGATCCGGTTAGGAGAGTAGATTTTCTAGATTCGAATTATGTTAAGAAAGCCAGAGGTAGACCTAAGAAGACTTGGGTATATTGTATAAAGAATGATCTTAATTTATTAGAATATGACACTAAATAGGACACAATGGAGAAAAAAGGATCCATGTAGCCGACCCCCCTTGGTGGGATAAAGGTTTTGTCGTCGTCGTCGGTGTACTTAAAATACTAAGATTGACAAAGAGGGTCTGATATATGTTTGATTGTTAGATGAAGCTGTTGTGGTAATGAGATATAATGAAATTTTTTTGACTTTGTAGTAACATTGCTCTTTTAGCAACTACAAATAAGTCATTACAATTCCTACTAAGAAAAAACCAGATGTCAAGCTTACGATGAAATTTGTCCAAGTACTCAAACAATGACTATTGATCATTAGGGAGGATGGATTGAAGTCTTTAATGAATAGAAGTATCATTTTTTTGTAATGTCTTTGAAATTGATGTTTTAACTATAAATTTTACATTCAAGGTTTGTTGGCATGTAATATAGAGAAATGAAGATGTATGAAACTTATATCATTATGTAAAATTGTTTTACATTCCTGTCTTTAAACAATTTCAATAGCCAAATGATTGTTTCTTTAAGGCTAATTTTGAACTATTTTGTGTGATGTGTTTAAACCTAAGTGAACCATTCTTTGTTCTTGACAAGGGAAACTAATTTACTTTGTGGAATTATGTATACATGATTTTCTATAGTTGAGTTTGTGGTTTTTGAGAATTGGTTTTCACTTAATGATTGATATGCACAGTTGGTGAATCCACAATTTGGCTTATCTTGCAATAGAAATTGTTAAATTAGAAAAAGATGGTGTGTGTCCTCTAGTTTACAAGCTCATTACTTTGGCATTAGCTTATTTATTTCATTCCTTGCTATTGCAACTGTAGAGATAGCATTTTTTACTATGTGCATTGTCGAGCATTAATTGCATGACAAAATAGTTGATGAGATGCTTAATGAGTACCTCAATACTTATATCGAGATAGAAATATTTGACTTGAACTAAAATGTACTTGCTATGCAGCATTATCGAAGGATCTAAAAGAGGTTGCGAAGCTTTTAGTCAATTTTCAACTCTTCAATCGTAATAGAATCTATGAATATAAGAATTTGCTTTGAATTATATATTATTTACTTTTTAATATTAATTTTTTATCTAATAAGTTTCTCCACTGCCAAAAGAAACTTTGGGCTCAATCCTGTTTTTCTTAAACTTTTGTCAAAATCTACTCTTGTTGAACTTGAATTATTGAGGTCTACATTGTAGTCTAAAGGCCTTTGCTTGAGTAGATCTAAAACTGACTACATGAATGTAATTTTAGTAGTAGTAGATCTGGTGACAGAGTTGTAACTATGGGTGATCAAAATTTTAAAATGTGATGTTTTGGGGCCACATCGATATGTCATTGTATTGACATTGTGCCCAATATGATACTTTTCACTTTGTATTTTTTATTCCTCATATTCATGGTTTACCGGTTGCTGCGAATTTCATGAATCTTGTCATTATGTGAAGAAAATAAATTTTAAGTTGTCTAGCTTTTTCATGATTAATTATCAGTCTTAATTACATGATAGTGCTGGTCTAAGTTTCACTGATTTTTGGTACTCTGAAAAGGGTGATGGTCGGAAAGGAAAAATATAGCTATCTTCTGCCCTCAGAATACTGCTTATCTTCTGCTCTTCTTAAACATGGCACTCCGAGCATTCTTTTTGCACCGGTCGTAATGGTGCCATGACATTATAGATTATAGTGGTTGATTTTCTTAGCCTTTATTATAGAAAAAAAACTATTCTCTATTAAAAACGAGTTAAACTTGCTTTGTAAGTGCAATTTTTTTTATGGAAAATATTTCCTTTTCTTATTCTTGTTTTGATATTATCTGCAGGATGGCTTTGTTAAATGCAACTTACCCTGGACCTGCTTTGATAAGAACAGTTGGTATGCTTGCAGCTTGATTGTATCCATTTTTTCACCTAGATGTTCTTTCATTTATTTGGTTAGATTTCACGTATAAGATTGAATTTTTAATATCTTACTTTTTCTAGCAATTCCGAGAATTATAATTTAACCTAATGATGCCTCTTTAATGTTAACAATATTAATTAATTCTTTGTTGGACAGAACTACTAACTGTTTATCTTGTTCATTGCGCTATGAAGATATTTGGCTGCATCAACTTGCATGCAATTTAGTTAGAATAAGGAACATTTAGAATTCAAATGGTATGAATGTTACTGCTTGCTCTGACAATGCTGAAAGTGCTTAAAAAAGCGGATTGCAGCAGATCAAGTTGTTGATAGAACAAACATACTAAGAATGTTGGGAAGTTAGGTAGATTATTTGGCATCTGTTTGCAAATATTCAGCCATTGAAAGGTGAATGTGATACACTGAACAAATGAACTTGAAATGATAAGTATCTGGTAAAAAGTATATAAGAAGGATTCAATTTTGGAATGAAAATCGTGATAGGCTTTGCCACTCTCACTATTAACCATTCAGGAGAGACATCTTTTTCTCTGATAGGACCTAAATCCCATTGAAAAACTTTCTTCACCATTAAGCTCCTAAGATAAGTTTTCGAAGTTGTGATTCATCCCTAATGTCTGACCATTTGTTAGTGGGTACATTGCTAAACTTAATATACTATCCGAACTACTACATATTATCTTCCAGAAGTAACTCAAAATCTTCTCATCTTTGACGAGTTGGACCTTCCTTAGTAGAAGCAACTTAGGAGGTGAGCTGTATATCTAAAAAGTATGAAATCTTCTTATCTGAAGTTGTCCCGTGTCTAGTATCGGCTCCTCAAACTCAAAGCCCTCTCTGATATCCTATGTTATTCCTGCT